TGCCCTGAGCACACTGATTAAAGGTACTTGTGATTATATCTTACAAGGAACAGTATACCAGTTCTCTTGCTATTTTAGAAAAATTATGTACTGGACATCTGCTAGAGTCCCAGTCATAACTAATCCCCATTTGCATAAGCAAGACACTGAGAAAGTCCTAATCTTTTAAAACTACCCATTAAAAATGAATGCTAAAGCATGAGAGATCTCCTTTCCCTTCCATTTTCTTCCTTCTCTTTTTCCCCTTCTATTTCTTTCTCATATAATCATTTTATGATGCCCTGAGAAAAGGAGCAAGGGAAACAAGCTGAAAAGATGGTTGCTAAGGAGAAAAAATATAAAAAGATGTAAAAGGAAAATCTACAATATAGTTCCTATGCATGGAAGGAATCGGAAAGTAGAAGACATGTCTCTTCTTGAAAATAAACTGAGCTTTCAGGACACACTGCAATTCCCATAATGGGTCTTACATGGGTTATTCTCTTGTTATAACCTGCCTTGATCTGAAAAAGTGACGTGTAGAGATTTAATAGCACCACGTAGAAAAACATAAGAACAAATTGCAAATGACTTCTGTGTGACACAAAAGCGTGGGGTTTGGTGTTTTGTTTCTGGTGTTATACTGAAATAACCTCATTTTTTCATATATTGCTGGGAAGAAGAAAGTCTTAGCAAATTGTTTTTGGGAAATAACTCCGTAATTCTATATAAATGACACTCCTAGTTCTTGTATTAATCCAGACATAAACTTAAGTCTTCTGGGATAGTTAAATTAATGCTAGGTGGGAGAAGAACACTTCTCATCAGACATTGATGCCTTATTAGTGGGAAATCATATGATTAATCAGTTTGATTACCTTCAAGTCAACTTATCTGCAGTGCAACTGCTAGCCAAATGAAAATAAGATTACTATGCATTACAACTTATTAATAACCTGCAATATGTCTTGATTATAACACAGCAGCCATGTGATGCACAATTACAAAGTCATAAAAACATCTTGACAGCAGTGAATATGGAAGAGGTGTGGTGGAGAGTAAGGTAAAAAATTGCAGAAGCGTGAGTGCCAATTTAGTTTTCAGTTTTTAGTCCAGTAATTTTCGGTTCTGCAAGGAACATTTTATTTTTGTTCTTTGGTAGATGTAGGATCTGCAGACATTTTACCGTGTCTAGTTTTTATGGTTGCTCAGATCACATGAAAGTATGAGTCTGTGTGGTGTTCTGAGACATCCAAACAACATCCAAATATCCAAAGCAACACCTTATACGTGGGAAGAAACAATTTACCAATCACCACTGGGAACTCAGATCCCTGAGAGAAACCAGCCACAGACAGTTCATGGGTCTGCTTTATGCCACATCTCTCAAGTCCTTATGAATATTGTTAATGCCCTCTGATATGTATATGCCATCTGAGAGTAGTTCATAAGCTGAAGAGATCCTTAGGAAGTAATAGCACATTTTCTTATTTTGCAGATTATTCTCTACTAATTTTTTTGTCCAGAAAAGCATCTTCTTTCATATTTATCTAACTGCAAAAGGCAGTTCATCAACAAGAATTAACCTCAGTGTCATAACTTTTCTTGAAAGGAAAAGCATGGCACAGAATTAAAACAAAATCACTTTGTCCTACACTCCATGGTTCAAGAAACTCCCTGTGTGCAGGTAGAGAGAAAACATTAGAGAGATACAGACAAAGAGATGGAGGAAGGGAAGATCCCAGTTTCCTTGTAGGACAAGAGTGGAAAGCTTAACAAACAAACAAACAAACAAATAAATATCAAGGCTTAGAGATCTTCAATTACTACAACTTTTCCACTGAGCTGAGAGAGAATACTGTCAGTGGTGTCTGGAAGTCACTTGTGGAGAGCTAGGAAAATCACATAGGTACAGTCCAGAGCTGCTGGCATTTAATTAGCCTCCATGTGGATAAGTCAGAAGTGCAGTGTGGAGCCTTCACAGTGTATCACAAAGCAGTGATACCTCAGCAGTGTGAATGCAGATGATTAACATAGTAAATGGTGAGAGAAGCTGATGAGAGATATGAACCTTCTTTGGAAATGAAGCTAGTAATGCGTACTTCTAATAAAAAAAAGCAAATTGAGTAAAATTGAGTTTCATGAGGAACAAAAAGGTTGTATGACCTAGAGATGATATATCAAGATAAGAACCATGTACTTCATATACAGGAAGTGCTTGGAGGCATGACATCAGATTTTTAGAACAATTCTAGCTTTCCTTAGAGCTCAGCACTAATGTAAATCCAGAAGTTCATGTTCTGTCTGAACTACATCTCTAGTCATCTATTGAGTATGATAACACTAATGAGGAGAAAACTGACTTTTGTGAGCAAGTCTGCTTCATGATAGTGGAGAATTTATGAAGCCTATGAAATTGGATACATTATTGTTAATAAGTGCTTCAGAGATACTGAAGTACCCACTTGCCGAGGTTTTAAACTACACTGCTCCCAGTCTTGAGGATGAAGGTGCAATAAGAATGATTCCTACCCATTATAAAATTCCACTCACGTGGAAGTATTCTTGAATATTAATTGTGCCACAGATGGAGGTGAAAGCTCTTTTTTGTCTGCTGACAAGAGACAGACCTCAAACACTGGAAAATTGCTATTGTTCACAGCATGTCAGAGAACCAGCAGATTCAGATCTCTACAATAAGCATCAGAAAGAAAACACTTGGCCAGCAGATGCCTCTTAAGGTCATAGAACCAGAGACTTCTCAGATCAAGGACAACATAGTAATGCACACAATCAGCAGAACTGATTATGAAGATGAAAACAAAAACAAAACAAAACATGTAATCTGGTATATTCCAAAACAAACAGTTTTCCTGCATTATATATCATAAAAAGGAATTATCTGAAGTCTCCTTACCATTATAAAAGCAAGGATTTTTCCATGCCCTGCTGCTCAGTGAAGTGCTTGTTTGTCTTAAAAGACAAGATATGCTGATTGCTATAGCCTAGACTTTTAACTGTTGTATCAAATCATAGTTCCTTACAACTAAACCAAAAATGTAATGGTATATCTCGAGCTAAGGTATCTAAGAATTACTGACTTGGACACGAAACAGACAATGTCTAACCAAGAATATATAAAGAGAAATAGAAAAGTCTGTGGCTTTTGTCTAATAAGGATCTATTCCCATGACCACTGAAGGTGATTGCATAATTCCTGAATGCTGGATACATCTATAGTCCAGATGAAGTTATCTTTTGTAAATGCATCCAAACAGTCTTGAAGGGAATCTACACACTTTTAAAGGGATACGAATTCTATTCAGTATAAAGCATTGCAACACAGAGAGAAATATTACTCCTCATTCTTTGATTAGCTATGGCTTGATATGAGCTTCAAAATAAAACAGCAGCTAGTCATAAGGTCCTCACTTGGTGTCAGGCTTACCTCCTCAAAGTAGTTCTTTTCCTAGCTCTTAATTTGTACTTTTTACATTACACAAAGAGAAGTAATCTTATTATCATAAATCTTGTATAGCAAATGCAAAATCCATAGTCATAGGCCATCACAGTCTATCAAGTTAAAATATTCAAATCAAGAACAGCTGTCGTGACTTATATAGGTTTCTCAAGCTAAGCAAATGCACACCTGGACATGCAGAGGTGGAGTGTGCAACATTATATTTTTAGTTGATCAGTTTGATGCTCAGTGGACCTGCAGCATAGCAGAGAGCTAAAGCCTATTCATGACAGAGTACTTGTTAGGTTACCTACTAGGACAAAGAAGATTGGTCAGTCAAAGTGGATAGAAAATAGGGTTTGCACTTGAGGCAAATGTTTGGTAAGGAAATATAGTTTCCTAATCAACAACAGAGATTTTTCTGCAGAAAACAAAATGAAAAATAGGAGTTGGTAGTTAACCTTTACATTTATCTTCTTAAAACAGAGATTTTTCCAGAGGATAATGTAAAGTAGGAACCATTCTCCAAATAAGCCTCTCTCTTCTTATGTAGAGACATACTGGGATTAGTTTTTTTATGATAAACAGTTATTTATATGTTGGGACTGTCTACTAGAGAAGCAGAGGTCAAATTGTTTGTCAGTAACATACAGTGACCCAATAGCTCCAACAGCAGCTTCAGGCCAAACATTCTCTCAGCTTGTGTTAATTCCCTGACAGTTCTCCTGCACCAACTGCCTGAGGATAGTATATTATTAATATTTAGGTAGAAGAGAATACTTTCAAGAGAAAGTTTGAGAGAAGTTCAAGGCAGCATTTTAATCAGAACACTTGAATCTAGGTTTCCTAACAAAGAGATGATTCCAGTGTTCTAGGTTGGAGCTCTAGATTTGACAAAATATTTTTGACAAAAACAAACAAGCAAGCAAAACAATACAAAGCTATCACTTTCCTGCTAAACAAACAAACGAAGCCCAATTATTCATTATTTTGAACAGATGACTTTGTTCTAAAAGCTGCACAATGATCTCTGTTCATCATCTACAGTAAATAGCAAGATCAAAGGCATACACTAATTATGGGACCTGCCTCAAGTAAGGCTAGGTACATAACACCCCTTCAACAAAACACACACTGTACTCATTCCTCAGTATTTCAGACACAAGCCCTTCCAAGTTCCTTTTTGCCACCAGCTTTGGCCTACTGCTAATCACGTTATTAGTAACTACTCAAGGCCTCTGGTTGGTAAACACAAGATCTGAAAACAAGGATCTTTTACTGAATAATTAATTTCACCCTAAAGCAAACATCTGGTCAAGTGAATGCAACCCTGAATGTTAATTGGTAATCAAGGGAATATCCATACTTCCTGAACTTTTCTGAGAGTGGTCTGAGCACCCAGTAGCTGTGAATGCAAATGCTGGGTAATTCTAAAGAAATGAAGGGTTCTTCAAAAGAAATCCCTGTATTAGTGACATAAACCAGGGTGTATTCTTTCAATACAACATGAACATTTTGTGTGACCAAATAGAAGTGAAGTATTATTGCCCACCCTTCTTACCTCTGATGAAGTGGGTTTGCAGTAGCCAGCTCCGAACACAAGATTTTCTAATGATATACTGGATTGGTCTGGTCCTATATCCAAGTTGCCTTTACCAAGCCATGAACCTTTCCCTGGACGAGCAAAACTAAGTGAAGAAAAAATAAGAAAAATAATCAGAGCAGTTTTGTTAAAGAGACATTACCTCCCTTGTGAAGAAAATACTTGCAGTATTTATTTATTTGGCTATTTATTTCCAGTCGATCTTGTAGGTCCAGACAACGTGTTTCCCTTATTAAATGAACATTGTTCAATATGCACTAGCTAAAACTATGTGAATGAGGCTTTCTATCTTGGCATTCAGTTCAATGGGTTGGATGTTATTTTTCCTTCAGTCCTCCTTCTGCTTTCTTACATGCCTTTTTCCAGCCTAACATCTCAATAGGACAATCTTTTCATTTATCTACATAGATAATGTTCTCATACAACTATTCATCAGCTTGCATCTTGATTCATGAAGCATTTTTCTGGTGTTAATCATATCACTCTTCTTGTTTGAATTGTGTATGTTTCCTGTCTTATAGGATGAATTTCTTAATAATGAAAAACCATGCCTGGAGTCTGTTCAGCACTGTAACCACCGGAGTCCTGATGAATAACTAGGGAACTTACTCTGGATTAATCTGACCAAATGTCTACATCTCCACTAATGATGTAGGCTGGAGAGGAATGGGCATATCCAGGGTGTGAGTCATCTCCTTCTGAAGTAGTCCTATCAAAGAGGTCAGATGAACTTCATTCCCAAAGCACTTAGTTGTTATTGTGGACTATAAAGAGAGATAAGGATGACTGCCTTACAAACAACTAAAATTAGGTGATATAAATGCTGTTAGTATGTGCTGTGCATAAACTACATCAAGATTTGGAGAGAAATGAGGCTACTTGTGGGGAACACATGGAGAAAAAAAAAAAATCTGAGTCTAAAAAACCAATGCAAGCTTCCACAGTTGATCTTAAAAAGCACACAGGTAAAGGTGGAATTGAAATAATTAATTGTTCAGAAGAAAAAAATTCCATCATATTTGCTGTTCATACTCAGTGCAGATGTAATGTCCCTGAGCTTGTGCTACAGCTTTCAGATCAGGATCAGCACTCACTGTCAAATGATGCTTCCCACCTAGGTATCCCAAATTACCTCCTGCGAGGGGTAGCACAAAAAAATAATTTCCAACTATAAACTGAAAGAAACAAAGGCCACAGGGCAATAGCATTTACTCTGCCAAAACTTTCCAATTTGAGCATATACCCCTAATTCATTGTTTATCATGAGGCTATGTCGGTTCAGATCAGCCATAATTCATGTATCTCTACACTTTGTTCAGTTTTTAAGGATAGGCTAGAGTGTTGACTGCATTACAGAAACACAGGACAAATGAAAGAATCACAGAATCGTAGAATCATTAAGGTTGGAAAGGATCTCTAAAATCATGTAGTCCAACCACCAACTCATCCCCATCATGCTCGCTACTTTTCTCAGTGTCACATCTACCATTTTCTTGAACATCTCCACCATCTGGGATAGTGACTCCACCACCTTCCTGGACAGCCTGTTCCAATGCCTCACCACTCTCTTAGAATAAATATTCCTAATATGCAACATGAACCTTTCCTGGCACGACTTAAAGCCTCTCATCCTGTGACTGTTACCAGCAGGGAGAGGGCGTTTATGCTAAGACAAAAGAGAGGAGTAGAAATACTTGTTATCACCCAAGTAATAGATGAGGTTCTGATGTGCAGGAAAACTCAGTAACTTGCAAAATAGAAAACAAATTTCAAGTAAAATCAGGAAAATCGAAAAATTTTAGGTTAATCACAAATTCCCACTTCCTCTCTAACTCTAAATTGCTGGTTTTTGTATATCCCACAGTAGTCATATGCTAGCAAAAAGAACGTTCCATGAGGGGGAGGATGGTATAGAAAGTCTTTGCATCTATCTGGCCTTGTTAATGTATATTAATTGATGCAATCCAACAAATTGCTAGCTTGCTGCTTCCAAGCAACAGGAAGTCTATCCTTACATTTAAGATACAAATAAATAAATAAAATAAAGCAATTACAAAGAGCCAAAAGATAAATGGTGTGCTGAACAATTTCATCTGTTATTGGATGGTGATGTCTGCTCTGGTCCGTTGGAAAGGCTCAAGAATCAGAAATAAAAAATGATTGCTGTGGTAACAGAGAGAAGCTTAAATAAATGTCTCCTACCCATGAAAAACTCATTTGAATATTAGCAAAGCTTTCAAAGGTTTTAAGGGAGAGAAAAGCACTTTTTATTGCTTTTTTATTTATTTATCTTTTGCTTTTACAGCTGAGAAGGGATTTTAATCTGCTGGTTTTATGGAAATTGACTTCACATAGCACTTTAAAACAGAAACCTTTTTTGGGAAACCTGCCAAAATGTCATCTGACTGCTGAGGCCAAGTTTAACTGGATGTCTTACAGATTGTTGAGGTTCCCCTAGTGCCTTCTGAAGCACGTAATCATAGAATCAAAGAATGACAGAATATTCTGAGTTGGAAGAGACCCACAAGATTATCCAGTCCAATTTCTGGCTCAGCACAGGACCACTCAAAAACCAAACCCTGTAACTAATAGCATTGTCCAAACACTCCTTGAACTCCACCAGCCCCACTGCCTGTTCTATGCCCAGCACCCTCAAATGAAGAACCTTTCCTTAACCCTACCAGATCCTCCGCTGACACAGCTCCATGTCATCATTTTGGGTCCCGCTGTTGTCACTAGAGAGCAGAGCTCAGTGCTGTCCCTCTGCTCCCCTCCCTTCCATCTTACAGAGGAAGATGTAACTGACATTTTTGGTCATTTGGAGGTTTAAACTGAAAAAAAAAGAAGGGTTCTGCACCACCTAGAATGACATTTTGGGAAGAACTTTCTGACTTTGATGTTATATTTATGCAATTATTTCTGCAGTCATGGTTATTTTATATGACTTTGAGTCCATGCCTTTCTGATTTATACTTTTAGCCTGTACAGAATCTTATGGAAATAACTGCATACTGTAGTATGTGCTAGACTTTCTGTTCATTTTCAACCTGCTGTTGCAGAATTGAATGTGGCACCTTCTAGTTCTTGCACTGCACAACGTATTAAGTAGTCATTCCTTAGGTTTTATCTTTGGTGGACTATTATTTCATATATAAATGAGATAACAGTTCCCTAGCACAAGAAATAGATTGTTATTGATAAATATTAATTCAGATGTGTTATTGAAGTAATTCATTATAAATGCTTGAGGATATTTTAATAAAATAAAATATTCCTTCCTCCATTAAATTGATACAAAGTTAGGTGATATTTTAAAATTTTTCATTTAGATTTTTCAAGATGAAAACTTTTTTTCTTTGGTAAGCAAAATGTAAGTTCTTCACAAATTGTAGCTTTCATTACAATTGGGGAAAAATGGAAGCAGATTGGACTCTGAATCTTATTTGCAAAAAATGATCATGCATTATGTGAAAAGGTAAAACTACAAAGATAGAAAGTAAAACAAAACAAATCAAACAACAACAACAAAAACCCTCACATTTCCAATTACAAGAAACGACAGTCTTGTGACTGTACCAGAATGAAAGTTCAGTAAGGGAACTTGCTTATGTTTTTTAGAAAATTAGGTGGATATTTACAGGTTGTGTTCCCCTGGACTCCCTCTTACACAAGGATTTTCACTAAGGTTATAATGAGTGATTGTAAAATGCTTTGAGCTTCTTGAGTAAGACTCTTAAGAATTATTAAAATAGCATTTCTAACAGAAGAAAAAATTCTCCCTAGATCCCAAACAGAGTCAGTGTGGAATCCAGATTGCAATCTGTAGTGATTCTGATTGCTGGAAAATACTGGTTAAGTTGCCCTGAATGTAGGTTATCTTGCTATAAAATTTGAAATCAGACAAAGACAGATGGTAACAATTTTTAATGCTTGTTTGTTTGTTTTTAATTAGAGTTTGACTCATAAATAGTTTTTTCTTGTGTGATTTCTTGGTTTGTAGGTCAGGAGAACAGCATGTCGAAACAGAGGTTCACCATTGCAAATATAAAACAAATAGCAACAAATAAAAAGAAAATGCACAGAATAAACCAGTAATTATTCAAGAATTCTTAGAGAAAAAAAATGGAACAGCATTTTTTAAATAAACATTTTATGGAAGTAATATTTCTTTCCCACATAAATACTCAATTTTCTTTCTGCAGATTACATTATTTGCAAATGAGGGACAGGAAAAGTAAGTCATAACCTTTGCTTCCCAGGATTAATTCTGTGGCAGTTTCAGACATAAGCTGCCCATAAGTAGGAGCCAGCTACACTCAGGATTGTAGGAAAATTGACCCAGCACCCAGATTCAAGGTGCACAGGAAGGTACAGATACAGTGTGTATTTCACACAGATATGTCACTGGTGCTGGTTTTGAGGAACTGGAAATGTCTGGGCAAAAAAGGATTTAGGTAAGATAAAATTACTCGAGGATGGCCAGGGCTGTCCTGATTCCTCAGTGCAGTAGAGCTGAGATAAATTAGGTCAGGACTGAATCCTTTAAATACCAATGTTCCTTTGATTCTACTTGTTATTCCTACAGCAGCAAGCTCGGGGCACTAAAATATCAGTGTACAGATCTTGCTTACAGCACTTACAGAATGTTGGCACTTGTTTCAGAGATTATTCACAAGCTGTATTTTTTCTAACAAACAGCATAGTATGCCAACTCCTCTTGAGAAGGAGTGGTCTAAAGGTCTTTGGAATTAACGAAGCATATAACCATGCTTCTTTCTGTGTGTGTCCTAAAAGAGTTCAACTTAAGAAAGAAACTGAGCATGAAACATGCCTAAGACTTATTAAACTGCACAACATAGAAATGTATGTGCCCCATTGGGAAAAGAAGAAATATTTATTGAGGCCTGGGCTAAACTGGATCAGGGCACCTTATCTGACTGCTGGTGCTGGGCTGCTAGCTGCCTGTTCTGCTTATAAACTGGACGACTTGTGAAGCTAGTGAAAGGGAGATAAAGTCAACAATTGAGGCCAGAAATGAAACTGGTATGAATGAAAGACTATGCAGAAAATTTGAGTCCAAAACTGGACTTGTTCATCTTTCATTTTCAGCTGCTTTCCTGTAGGGAAGTTGAGTAGCTTGGGATCTGCAGCAGCAGAACTCCAGCCCAATGGTGCCTAGCAGAAGAGTTTAAGTTTAGGGATGGAAAAGAGGAGGGAAGTAGTGTTTCAGATCAAGGCACCTCACATCTTTGTTCTTCTTTGTTATTGCATTTCTGCCTGGAAGTCCAAAATTTTGGACACAGGTCAAAGTGGTCCAGCTTCCCCAACCACTTCTGGGGTGCATTTTAGAAAAGTCAGAGGTGCCTGAAGTGGGAATTTTTAGTCAAGCTATGGCTCTGTGCTCTGTAAGGACAAGTCAAAGTTTCCCTGCCCCTTCCCTGCTGCTCAGAACCCTCTCTGTAGCAGTGTTTCAGAGGGATTAGGCTGTCCAAGGAGCCACAAGAGGAACTGATTCAAGAATACAAGCATCCTATGATGCTCCTGGTCATCCCATCCAGCCTGACCTTGAATGCCTCCAGGGATAGGGTATTCACCACATAGCTGGGCAATCTGAGTTGACTGGAAACCTTCCTCATCACCTGATCCAGACTCCCATCTCAATTAGTAAATGCATAATACCATCATCAGGTGCCAACACCCCATTACAAACCTGAAGGTTATGCCTATGGGAAAAGCTGGGTCACAAATTTTCCATCCAGTGTCCTGCAAAGAATCATTGAATCCAGCACTTCACTTATTCTCAGATCTATAAGAGATGAAGGCTTCGAAGTATCAAACCTAATAATAATATTTACTTGTATAAGAAATTATTAACCAGGATCAACATTGGTTTAAAATTATTCATTTTCTAAAAATTAGATTTGATCTGCTTGAACTTTTTGTTGGTGAGCATTACTCAGCAGGGAAAGGCCAGAACCAATCCTACTGCTTTCTCTACTATGTAAATACAGGTACGTGGGAAGGATTTGTAGAAGAGTATCTAATTAGCCAACAGATCTAAGAAATATGAGACTCTGAGCCTGTAGGGAGAATGTGAGTGGACAGCTATTTCAGGCAAAGTTGTTCTCCAGGATAACTTCAAAACAGAAGTAAATTTTAATTCCAAATAATACGTGAGGTTTTTTTTTCCAGGGTACGTCTAACAAGAATCCTTGTTGTCATAGATATAAGAGTACAAATATGTCTATAAATAAAGTATATATGTGTAAAATATTACGACAGAACAGTGTAAGGCAGTAAAATAAAACATAGTAAAATACAGCATTTATGTTTTTCCCAGGCAATATAACAATTTCATTTTTACTATAATGTGACAAAAATGACTTTCCAATCATTCAAGTTCTTTCTGTTGTATTGGAAATAAAAATGTGAATTTAAAATTAAAGCTTTTGTTCCAAGGTCTCAATAACAAGTGCTAAGCAAGTAAGCTTTGAGCTGGGAGAAGAGAAAATAAGTTTTATTGGATTGGTTTTGTTTCAAAATATTTCACAGTGACATTTCTTTCATACTATTGACTTCACTCTGATTTATATGTGGAGAGTGCATGATATAAGAACTCTTTACACTTTGAATATTTATCAAGAATAAGACAAATCCTCAGTACCACACTTTAAAGCAATTTTACTGGCTTAAGCAAATGAAACTCTATATTGTGTTGTCAAAACCTTCATTCCATTACATTAAGTAAAAATATTCTATATTTCATAAATGTCCACAAAATTATATTCTAAAAGCTATAATAATCTGACTGTAGAACAGTTGCTTATTATGGGATTTATGCCTAATAGCTGTAACAACTCTCTGTAGTTCCATTCATTAGAGGATAACAAAGCACTGAAAACAGTAATTAAAGCCTGATAACTATGGCTCTTCCATTCTTTTGTATAGTAGAACAATGGATAAATTATCTGAACAAAATTATCTAGTTAGAAGTAGTCTGGTACAATTGAATTCACTATTTTAAATATCTACATGTAACAGCTAGGAAAATAACAGCAGTTACCTAAACCTCAGTGGAGGAAGAAAAGACAGATATGTTTGTCTGATGTGCTAATGCAACTCACAATGCTGTCACAGCTCAACCTTTTATAACCATAATTCATTGCATGCCACCAAGTACACTTCACACATTTACACAAATGAAGAAACAAGAAAAGACATATCAAATCAAAACAGGAAATCTGAGGAAAAAAAAGAGTCTAGAGGAGCATCTTTTTCTTTCTGACACAGTGGTCACTGCACAGTTTTTGACAAACTCAATAGACATTTGGCGCACACTGCAAGGCTCTGCTAGAATAAAAAAGTTGAACGGTGCTGAACACTGCATTTAGTTCCAAAACCCAAAGAGCTCTCTTCCTCTCAGCACTCTTATTTCCTGTGATGACCAGACTGGACAGAAGGTAAATTGCCTTAAAGACATTAGCTTCTCCTCACTCGCTCTAAAAGTAGAGGATATTGACCTCTAGTCCTATTTCATTTGAAGGAGTTCTGAACTATTTTCTTGTCATTATGAATCAGATAACACAAATCACACCATGGCATCTAGTGTTACACTGCTGCACGATCAAATCAGATGATGCTGCAAAATAAAACTTCAATAGAAGGCTTATCACATACTAATTCGTACATACCTCCTTCCAGCCCTTTTATGAAGTATGCTAATGTTCAGAGGCCAGAGATGAGATTAGAGACCTACTGTCCTAAAGTGAAAAAATGTTAATGTTCTCAGGTGCTTTTCAACTAAAGAGAAAAGACAGACAAGGAGAAGAGAAATTTCACTAGTGTTACAGGTGGAGAATAAAGAGATCAAGCATCTGAAATTTCTGCAAACTCTGATAGTTTTTGGTCAGATCCTGAATGTCTTACCAAGGGAAGGAGCTTATGTCAGAGTCTAAAACTAATCCCCAATCTCTAGAAACCTAGCCCAGATCTGAAAAACTTGAAAATAAATTATAATCTCCACTCCTTCCATACAATAAGGAAATGTATTCAGAAGAGAGATCTCTCCTGTCAGAGACATTTCTGAGTCCCTTACCTGATCAGAGGCTGGTGTAATGCTACCAGTGACGCATGCACTGTGACGGATATCACTGACAGGTGGAAATAGTCAAACATGACAGGAACATGGTGGTGCAGGCCTCTCTGGGGGTGGAAGTGAAGACACAGCGTACGGCTGCTGATCATGGGGATGGCTGGAACATCTCTCAGCCTAGAAAAGAAGGCAGTTTACAAGGATTAGTGAAAGCTTGAGTTGTCACAGCCTATAACACGCGACAAGTAGCAGACTGGAAGGTGGCCTGAGCTGAATATTTATTACTTCCTGGTAAAATTCACAGCTTCAACAGGATTTACATAACTGATGAGTATCTTATATTATACTTCTACCTAGTATAAACACAAATGTAACAAATAGAAACATGATGTACTAAAGGAAATATATATGATGCAGATTCAATTTCTCTTCGTGATTATCCTTGCTGTCCACCCATATACCAGTTCTGGACTCATCAAATGTTACTAAAAAGTAACAGGCAGGTAGAAAAGTGCTCAGTTTATATGAATGCCCAAAGCCAGGACAGATCACTAATTGTAATTTTTAATGTAACAATAATCTATTTTTCCTCAGGCAGTCTGTGAGAGGTAGAAGCAGTCCTATGTCAGAGGGCAGGACATAGCCACAGAATCACAGAATCATGGAATTATAAGGTTTGGAAGGGATCTCTGGAGACCATAATCCATCTCATCTGCTGAAGCAGATTTCCTATTGCAGGTTACATGGGAAAGTATCCAGATAGATTTTGAATATTTCCAGAGAAGGAGAGTCCACAGCCTCTCTGGGCAGCCTGTTCCAGTGTTCTGTCATCCTCAAAGTAAAAAAACTTTGCTCGTGTTCGTACGGAACTTTATGCGTTCCAGTTTGTGCCCAATGCTTTTTGTTCTGAAGCTGAGCACCACTGAAGAGTCTGTCCACATCCACTTGACTCCTGCCCCGTAGATATTTATAAGCATTGAGAAGATCCTCCCTGAGACTTTTCTTCTCCAGGCTGAACATTCCCATCTCTCTCATCCTTTTCTCATAAGGGACAGGTTACAGGCCCCTAATAATCTTTGTGTCCCTCCACTGGATTCTTTCTAGAAGTTCCCTATATTTTTTTAACTCTCTCACGCTCTTCTTAATGCACCCCAGGATAACATTGGCCTTCTTGGCCACAACAGCGCATTCCTGGTTCATGGCCAACCTGTTGTCCACCAGAACATCCTGATCCTTTTCCACAAAGCTGCTTTCCAGCCGGTGAGTCCCTAACATGCACTGATGGATGTGATTATTCCTCCCCAGGAATGTACTACACTTGCTCTCATTGAATCTCATCAGGTTCCTCTCTGCCCAGCTCTCCAGTCTGTCTAGATTTTGCTGAATAAGTACAAGAGCCTTCTGGTGTGCCAGCTACTCCCCCCAGCTTTGTAGCATCAGCAAATTTGCTGAGGGTTCATTCTGTTCTCTCATCCAGGTCATCAGCAAAGATACTGAACATGATCAGAGTCAATACCAATGCCTGGGAAACACCCCTACTTGGAGTATCTTTCTACATAGCTGATGTGAAAAACTTTTTGCAGGAGGTCAAACAAAGGAGTAAGCAAAGTAAACACAGAAAAACAATAGAGTTAGGATTGGGTTCTTCTATTTTCAGAAAATACAAGTTAAAATTTTCAAATAGATGTTGCTTATGACTATTCTAGAATAACTTTTCTGGTATGCAGTCAACACAGTATCAAAATCACTTATATAGCAGTAGAATGAAACATACTGGGATCATGCTAGCCCCATTCTCCTAAACTGCAATTCATTCCTAAAAAGGTTTATTTTACAGCATTAAATACACTTCTGATACAAGAAAATTGCTTTCCAGAATTACATAAATTTATAATGAGTTAGTTAAGTATAGTGCATGGCTAGTCCCAGGAAATTCCAGTAAGATTTGCAAAATATCTTTCTATTAATATCATAACTTTTGTTTAAAATATACCGGTAATTCATTCAGATGATAGCAGATATTAAACATACGCATTAAGCCACAAATTCCTCAGAACCTGAAAGTTTCATTTTCTTTTTATTCCTGGCTTTCATTTATGTTTGGTTTTCTTCCCTCCTAAACCCATCATCATTGCAGCTGATGATTGACGATCCCACCTGCCTGAGAGAATAAAGTCTCACTTCTTCTATCTTCAAGATAAAGGAAACATGTGACTTGAAACTTGTTAAGGTGTTTTATGGATATGAATGCAAACACATGAAATGCATCTGCTGCAGTAATCAGAAGCCCTTTCTGTCATTCAGCAAGGTTTAATAAGTTCTGGGATCACATCTACTGCTATGTCTCAGAAATGGATGCTATTTCCACTTCTTTAAGATTTTGGGAGGAAATCAAAGTCAAAACTCTCTCCTCCTAAAATATTGAGACCTCTTTGGCTTCTACACAATAAAAGCACTTAACATGTTCATACATCCATCTTCAGTCACTTGGATGACTCCTGAGATAAATGCATTCCTCAACCTTAGCCCCTAAATGATGATATGTTCCTTTGACTTTAATAGCAAGAAGAAATTGAGCAACATTTAACACACACTTAAAAATGAAAATGCTCTTCAGAAGAGGACTATGAGATACACTTTTCAAACACAGAGAGGAAAAATGGAAAGACTTCAACATTAAGGCAAATGAAAGACATACGCCCTTCTTTTCAATGGCCTTCATTCCAAAAGAACTCTCACTTCATTGAAGCCATTTTCCAAACTGAAGAAACTGTTGTATTACCAAGTAAGCTTTAAAACAGCACTTACTGTTGTTCACTATCAGTAAAATGCAGGTCCAACTTGAGCTGAAAATCCGCCTCACTCAATGCATCTTCCACCTACAAAAGATAAAGGAAAGGCTACTTTCATAAATTGGGATCTACAACATTGAAGGCAAAAGTTTCCCTGACAAAATCAAAGGCAAAAGTATTAAGCAACAGTAGCATCCCTTTGCCATGGCAGAACAGAAAAAATATAATAGCAGTCACTACTGAAGGAGTCAGGGAACCAGAGCAGTTGAAGGTGCTTTTGCCTGCTCATGGCAGTTCTGCCATGTCAAAAATGGTTTTCTTCTTGGTTGAAAAATGGCCATGAAACCTTGTGGTTCTTTACTCTTTTGACTCAAATATTAATGGCTCAGACACTTATGACATTTTCTGGTCTCTTATAATTTGTCTTTTAGCTAATTTCTCATCAAGCTGATGCCATCCAGACTCCCAGCCCCTCTTCTCAGTGTTTGACAGATTGAGAAGGAAGTTTCTCACTGATTTGCACCTGAACCATATTCTCTGCAAAATACAAAGGAAAATACACTTCAGTTTAGATAGCTTACATTAGACAAGATGAATTCTACGTTTTCCATCAAGTTGGCACCTTGGCAGAATATACAAAAAATTCACCAAAGACAGTGTCAGAGGAATCTAACCCAATTTGACTAGTAGGATTTGTATAGGAAATAAGATAAGTTTAGATACATTTTCCAAAGCTCAAACTCCTCCTGCAGTGTGCCTTTTCCTGTGGAAGCAAGAACAGTTATAGTCAAGGATTGATTGTACTTCATGAAAATAATTAAAGATGTAAAATATAGAGCCTTCTAATATGGTATTTCTCCTAGCATAATCACAGGCACTGAGATGTGAGAAGAAAATTCCAGCCTCTGTTCTCTAAAAATGTGCCTTCTCTTTTGTGTTTGTCTCAAAACATCTGGAAGTAAGTCTCCAGCAAAAAAAAGGGTTTTTTTCCTTTTTAATGAGTTGTTGTCACCAAAATCACAGTTGCTGGCAGTTGCAAAAGAAATAATCATTATTGAAGTTACACTCTGAATTTAAACTAGGAATTAAAATCAATTACAGAGCATCAGACAAAGCAAACCTCATCTGCCCACAGAAGGGTTTAAATTTTGGGTTTTTGCCCAAGAACTACTGAACTCCTTCAGCTGTCACTGAATCTGTTTAAGAAATTGAACAGCTTTAGATATAGCAGGCTAGAAACATTTGCCTAGAACACCTTCAGGCAATGGGTCTGAGAGACTTAGAGATATTCATTTCTGCGCAGGATCATGCATTAAGGTGCAACTGAGCAACTTTATTTTTAGTTCCACAACTATATTGATATCAGATTGCTCAGCACAGTGCAAAACCCACATATAATCATATCACAGTACTCACTACAGAGATAACACATTTTCTTTTGTATATTGGAGGTTTAAATTATAAAGCTAGTGAAAATTGGGCTACGGATTTAAAATAACAGAAATCTTCAGGAGAAAATAACATTAAAATGCTTATGTATAGGTTGAATGTCTAAATCTCTTTTCTCCATGTACACACATTATCTAGAAGCCAATCCAACTCTTAGACATGACAGTTACGTATAAAAGTTATACAATGAAAGTTACTGTATCACTTTAATTCTCCTGATTTTCTTGTGTTTTACTTATTTTCATGTATTAGAACCATAGCAGCATTAGGTCCTTTACAGGAGAAAAATTGAAATGTCTTTCCCATACAGAAGAGACACTATCATTTGTCAGTATGTAATAATATTGTCTTCAAAGGAAATAATCATTGTTTTTCTTAGTACTACTGGGACTGTTATGGTTATTTCCACATTTATCATCTACAGAATGCATAGTTGTCCAAAAGTTTGACATACCATCAGTTTTGTTGTTGTCTTTTTGTTTTCGTTTTTCTCTGAAGTAAAGATTTAAGATTTTAAATGAGCCTACTTAACAAATTAGCCTGAAAAAGTTCTCTGAAATATAATTCATGTTTGACTGTCTAAGCCAAGGAGCAGTGCTCCTAGATACACTGAGAAGGGTCTTTTGGTGTTTTTTGAAAAGTTGTGTTAATGATTAAAATTACAACTGATGGAAGAGGAGATAGATAAATACCTTTGTGGAAATACAAAAATTTAAATTGTTCACATCAGTCTAATGTCGCCCAGTAGTTCCTTGTAACGCTCACTTGTATCTCATAGAAAGTTCTTCATTACTGGACTGACTGAGTCAACATTTCCCCTGGTACTCCAACCTTGGCCTAGCTTGTGAAAAAAAACACAACATATTTGGCTGAAAGCACAAAATACTCCAGGAAACACTGTCCAGAATTCAGGCTCCTTTCTACCCTCTGACTCTCTCCTCACCAAAAGAATACATTCATAAGGAAATGTATTTTATTAAATACTCTTTGGAATCTATTCAGTAAAAAGTTTTGTATATGAAAAACAGAAGCATTTCATGCAGTAAAGCGTATATGCAAACTAACATATTCATATTTCTCTTGAAGCAGTCTTGAATCAAATGCATCATTTCAAATTTGAATTTTATTTTTTTCAGGTTTATGGTTATTTCCTTGATTTATTTCCTAAGAGCAACTCTATAAATGAAGTTTCCACAACTGTTGTGATGTACTTCCATAATATTTAACAGTTTATCCAGGATGTCAGTCTGAATGATCTAGCTGTCTCATCTCACATTTCTGGAAAGTACAAATTCTACAAGTACTGTTATGTTCCAGCATGCCTCATTCTATCTTCCATCAGCTACTAAATTGTTCTCCAACTGAGCCAGCAAGCAAGGAGGCAAGTTACTTGTTCTACAGCTTGATAAAAAAAGGCAGAGCTCCTTCTTTAGCAAGATTGAAAGAAAGTTAGACTTCTCTGTAACAACAAAGTCTGCAAAATTGTTTCAAATTCAAAGAGTACTGCATTCTGGGATGACATAGAAAAAGGCATTCAATACAGTTTTAGAGCACCATTTAAATGGTGAAAGTACGTTTAAGTGTCAGTTCTAGATGGATAATTGAGGCTTCTTCCATATAACATCAGACAAAAATCTGAGTATTCATCTGGGCTGTGCAGAAATAAAACAGTAGCAAATAATCTAATCTTAACATGCACATGGCTATTTTCTATTTTCCTTTTTTTTTTTTTTTTGTGTCTTTTTTTTTTTTTTTTAATTGAGCCTATCTCATCAACAGAACTACTCTAGCACCATGAGAAGAAGGCATACTGCTTCCTTGATGTAATATTCGATAGCATCAGCTGTGGCAGCAGAAATGACTTGGAGCATATAAACTCAATACCCCCATTTTGCAGCCTAACTATCTTGTATATTTACCGTATTGTTGACTTAGACAAAAAAGCAGCAAGCAAATGCTTCACCCTCAATCAAAAATAAATACCACAGCAGTAAACAGATTTAAATACAGCTGGCATCTATTGTGTATTAAATAAATTAAGTAATAAATAGAATGCACTGACCTATATGTAGTTCCACAAAGCTACATTGCAAGAATTGCATCAGACATATCATATTGACAGACATACAACACTATGCAATACTGTCTCTCAGCAGTAGTTGCAAATATAATAGAGTCATAGAATCAAAGAATCACCAACAAGAGTCTTCTGAGCATGGTGCCCTGTTAAGCAGCACTCTTTGCTTCCTCCCATATTCATACTGAATTTTTACAATCCTGGAGGATTAAATAACACAGCATAAATCCGAGGCCTAGGAACATTAAGAAGTGAATTTTGCTAACCACCTAAGGCAGAAAGTTTTACAAACCTTTACTTTTTTGCATTTGATTCTTTAGACTATCTTCAGCAGCTCATTTGGGGCCAAGAAACCTGTTAATCATCATATTCTACACACTCAAAAAGTCAAAACAGCCATCATACAGAGATAAGGAACTTTTCTCTTTATAAAATCTCTCTGTGCAAACACAGAATTGGGCAGTTATCTTTTTCCCAAGGGGCCTCCTCTATAAAGGTGAGCGTGATGAACATGGGACAGAAGATTCAGGATGAGTTTTAACTGTGAGGAATCTAGTGGGATTATTTCTTCAATTCTGTGAGGTGCACAGCTCTTCTGAATATTAATGCAAACATCATCAGAAATCATGGCTGCTTAACAGAGTGGAAACTGCTGTAATTTGAGGGGTGGGATGCTTAATCAGAGATGTTCCACTGTGGAAGTATAAAATTAACATTCATTTTAAAATGTTGGAACATTTGTCGAACAAATATTAATACATTTAATATTTTTTTCTTGCAAGCATACAAACAACAATTCAAGGGGGCAATAAATTGATCACAACTTACGATGAAATAAAAAAAAAGGGAGAAGGAAATGGAATATGAGAAATAAGTTTAAATTAGTTTCTTTACACATTTTAATTTAGATCTCTATAAAATCCAAGTACATATGAGTGGAATGAGTGCAAATAGAAATTTTAAATATCTTTATGTTCAAAGTTATACAATAAAGGTCCATTGAGCATCTCTGGCCCAATACACAGCACACGATTCATGCTGGCTGTTCAACTAATGGGACTATTAAACTGTTTTTGACAGCAAGCTGATCTGACAAAAAGAACTGATGTAGTTTTTCTCTCATTATCACTGACAGAAGATCCTCATGCCATATACTCTGTACCAGTCGTGCAGGCAAAACACAGAAATGGCACATTGGCCACAATCAGTTGTCATGCTCGAATGAATCTTTCTCCTGCTTCTGTGTAAAATTCTGCAAAAATTGTACTCTAACATTATTCCAGTCTTGTAACTCTAAGATACAGGGAAAAACACTGGGAGACATTGGTTTCTGATCAATAAGAGGAAGTCAGATATCCCTCACAGGATGAGTGCTTCAGATCATGTACTTCATTTGTGTGGGTGCTTGGCTTGAGGGAGTTGTCACAACAGGAAGGCAATAGGGACAGTGAGCTGTAACAACATACATTCCTGCTGTCTGGAGCAGTGATAACAAAAGCTAAGAGAACTTTGATGGAAAGGGATTGGGCAACTTGGTCACAATATTGTGGCTGCTGGGCAAAAGAGCAGTCACAAGGAAAGAGGAGAAGGTAATAGTAATATATGATAAGGGGAGAAGCAAGATGCAGAAGACTTTGTCAGGTGAGATTGATCTATGCAGATGTAGAATAGGTGATCTAGTGCACAAATGACAAATTATAGTAGACACACTGGAGTTTGAGTTTCTGATTCACTGACGCACTGCAGGATATCCACACATTATTCCACTAGAAAGCCATGGTGTAGACTGTATTTGATAATAGGCACAGAGCCCAGGTTCTAACTGTCCTAATATAGATGTTAACAGTGTAGGTGCTTGGCATCTAAACAAATTATTCCAAGCACCTTCATCAGCATAGATATATATATGTACATATATGATGAGTACCGGATCTCCTAATGCAGATGCTGACAGTAGGTCAGATAACTCATGTACTTACCTCTATTACTTATACTGATGAGACCTGTGACAGCATATAGATTAGTGGAGGCATTTATGTGATGGACACTTAAAGTCAGGTATGAGGAATCCCAACCCTCCTGTTTTTTATGGACATCCCAAGACAACTCACCCTTTCGCCATCCAGAAGCAGATGTACTCTGAAGTTCATTGATTCATTAAGAATGATCTCTTCGTTCCTGTACAAAATCTGAAATATTCTGCTGTAAACGTTGTTTTCATGCACACAGGCAGAGCAAAGGCTGGAATCACCTGCACAAAACACAGACAGACTGCTGGTATGATTTCTGTAGGGAGACTATTTTCTCTCTTATGCTTTCAATTCATGATTATTTAGGCCAGTTTTATTATAACTCATAATTAAACACTTGCATTCTCAATAATTAATGTTATTAACATTGGTTGTTGCAGGTTTCCAATCACAGTATTAAAAGAAACAAATGTTAAACACAACCAGGCACGTTGGATTTCAAAGTGAGAACAGCTAAACCTGTGTCAGCATTTACCCCAACTTTATTTCTAATGAAACCTAAACCATCTTATGTTCCCCAGGGAATCTTCAGAAGCATGAGCTATGGGTGCTCACCTGAAATACTTCGATTTTTGTCTACAGTGAGCATATTTCAGAAAAGGGAACTTCCTTGCTACCTCTGGTGCTTCTAGAAGTCACTACCCGGGAGAGAAAACAACAGCTAATAGCACATTTCAAATGAGGAAACCCAAAGTGCAGAGGCATCTTGGTTGAAATTATAGAAAAAGAATAGAAGTACATTTCATTCAACTTGATGAAAGTCCTGTGAAATCCCACAGGCCATTGGCCCACGTGAGAAATTCCAAGTTGGCCCACACAAAACAGACTGAATGAATTCAAGAATCACAAGCCTAAGCTTCTTCCCATTGCTTTCAGACAGTCAAAGTTTTCATCTGTTTGTGCTGTTATGTCACATGAGAACAAATAAGTTTCACAGATACACAGGTAGAATTAACCCTTCCTAACTTTGAATTCCTCCACTGTACGCAGTTTTTTCTGGCTACAGAAGAACCTGTGGGTTTTAAGATACTATGACTACACAGGAACCCATGGGTTTTCAGACACTGGGCATACGACAAAAAAGGATGAAAGATTTTATAATGAAAAGAATTCTAATTTTCACCTGAATTCCACTGTTTCTTAATTCTTCTTTCACTGACAAGAACAGAGCATGACTTGCTTAGCTTTCAAAATTACACTGAAGGCAACAACGTTTGCCTTGATGAGTTCATCCACAGGAGTTTGTGATATTTGTGTGCTTACCTAATGAGCAGCTTAGCACCAGAGTGAGGTTCTTTCCAATTCGGTCTTGGCAGTTAACTTGAATAACTTGTTAATGCTACTTCCATTGACACTGAGCAACAACTTGCAAAATTTACTTTCAGTCACTTCCATCGTTTTACAGCTTTCAGCTCAGGATGAGCCTGAAATTTAATTCTTTAGTGAGTGGTAATTTGTAACTCTCCTGATGAGATGTGTTTAAAAAAGGTGTACCAGAATCAGTACCTCAGAGAGAGACAGATCTTGTCAGGAAGCCAGCAAGCACACGCTTTTTAAAAAGAATAACAGTATCTCAGAAAAGTAACTTTTGGACATTTGGATCTGCAGAGCCTATTGTTTTGAGCCTATGATCTGGGGTAGGAAAAAAGTCCAGGTCAGAGTCTTAGGGACCACTGGTTTGTCAGGAGTTTCAAATCAGGGCTGGTCAATTCTGCTTTGCTAAAGCTACTGCTTTGTTCCACGTGCATATTTGCAATCAGAAGATACTGAGTTGATACTGACAAAGGACTAAAAATTTCCAAGGGTAAAGTATGTTTAAGGTGAAAAAAAAAAAAAATAGAAAAGAAGGGCTAAGAAAGAAAGAAAGAAAGAAAGAAAGAAAGAAAGAAAAGAAAAGAACGAACGAACGAACTAAATGTCACAATAGATAAGTGAATGGAGCCTTGACATTATAATCAATTGTAATCATTAGGTTTTGTGATGCTTGTCTGCTGGAACTGGAATACTGCAGACAAAGAAGTACCTTCTCCAAATAAATAAATAAATAAATAAATAAATAAATAAGTTAATGAAAAGGGTCAGTGGGAAAGAGTTCATTAAAAAGCAATAAGACTTCTGCTAATCAATTATCAGGACCACGGGGATGTCAACACAAACTACATTGAAATCATTTTCCTATTAACGACTTTTGCCAAGAACACCCGTGTGACAGTGTTTCACCTTGCTATTGCCTTCCCATCACATAGCCTTCCAAGTACTTCTGATAAAGTCCAAGCAGCCTAGAGAAATACACATTTATTTCCTGATGTTACACCCATTAGGCTAGAACATTTCAGCCTGATTAGCCCTTCAAAGCATGCAGTCGTATTTATTTTAATTTAAACCTCATCATATTAGAGACACTGCAAAAATCATATTAGGGTTATAATGCATTCTTATTCCTATCTGGCAGACAAAGGGAGCTTTATGTTATTTGATTTGGATATTGATATACCGCTGCTCTTCTAAGATGGAAAGTTTAATGTCATTTACTTTTCAAATGCACTTCTGCAAAGACCATTGCTAGTGTGTAACTGCTTTAGGAGCCAGATTTGCAAGGTGGCATAAAGAGACATTTCTCTTGCTGGAAAGGTCAAAATCAAAGACATGCAGATAAATACAGTGCTAAAAATTGCTTAGTTTAAGAACAGATCTATGTGGGTCACTCCAAAAGTAACGCCTTCAATTTATTTCCATGGAAACTCCTACATATAAAAAGAGAATTACACTGTTTGATAGAGGAAGTTCTGCTACAAAACATGATTTTTTCATCAGTCACCACCATTCTATCCAACTCTCTATTTTCACCAGCAATGAACGAGAGCCAACATGCTGTGCTTGCAAAAATCTGCATTTAGTGAAGGTGACATATTGTCATCACTGCTGAAACACACTACCCACCAACTCACTGTGCTCACATGTAGCTTTTGGTCTTTAACATTCAGCAAGCATTAATGAATGGCAGTGTATACCTGGCTGCATGACCATACTAAAGCTTTTTTCACTCAAAAGAAGTGGTTCCAAGCCAGACAGACGTATCCGTAGCCTATTCCACAAAAACATCACCATCATCCCAGTAACTTTTGGAAAGTAAGTTTTGCATATTTCTCCTTGTTCTTGGGAAGCTTTCTGACAGTTACGTTGTCCTAAATGCACAAACTTGTCAGCTAACAGACACAGTAGCATGAAGGCTGGCATTTACCATGGCTGACATCCATCAGAGACCTGATAGTCCAACCTTTGTTGGACTAGATGACCCTTCAAACTCAAACTACTCTACTATAATCCTATGATGATGGTTGCTAGAAGAAGACATAGGAGAGGAGAGCCACGAAGATGATCAGGGGACTGGAACACTCCCCTATGAAGACAGTCTGAGGGAGCTGGGCTTGTTCAGTCTGGAGAAAAGAAGGGTGCGGGGTGACCTCATTGCAGCCTTTCAGTACCTAAAGGGAGCCTACAAACAGGAGGGGAATCAACTCTTTGAAAGGGTTGATAACTGCAGGACAGGGGGAAATGGTTTTAACTTGAGGGAGGGAAGATTTAGGTTGGACGTCAAGGGAAAATTATTTGCTATGAGAGTGGTGAGGCGCTGGAACAGGCTGCCCAGAGAGGTTGTGGATGCCCCACCCCTGGAAATATTCAAGGCCAGGTTGGATGGGGCCCTGGGCAGTCTGGTCTAGTATTAAATGGGGAGGTTGGTGGCCCTGGATGTGGCAGGGGGGCTGGAGATTCATGATCCTTGAAGTCCCTTCCAACCCTGGCCATTCTGTGATTCTGTGATTCTGTGATTCTGTGACAGAGCAGATATACACCTGTGCACATACATCCCCCTCCATCCTCCAGGACAAAGCATAAGGTGATGAGAGAGAAGCTTGAAACTCTCCCAAACCCCTTTCTAGCAAAACCTCACCTACCCATACAGCTTTGAGTTATGTCTGCACTGCTCACAGGCCACATGCACTCCAAGAAAAACACATTTGGTATGTGGAAACTGCTGGAAGCTCTGAATCCCTGGTGAGAGCTTGAGTTAAGACTATACTGACCTTCTTTTAGCTCTTTATTCCACAATTTCAAATATCTAGGTTTTGGTAAATTCAACAAGGAAAGACTAATCTTGCAGTAATTACCTTTGCTCAGTAAATTTTCTTGTCAGGAGGTGTCACAAATGCACCTCCTGACACAAAAATTCGATGAGCAAAAGCTAATTATGCTACGTCCCTTAAACCAACAGGAATCCTGTTTCCCATGTCCTTTTCCTAAATGGCTTTTTCTTTACTGCTTCTCTTCTTTGGATGAAATTAGCCTTCAAAATATCACAAAGTGAAAGAGCTAAGTAACAAATTCAGGTTTTATCTTCAGCCAAACTTAGTGAGAATAGAAACTACACTGTTCTGAGGACCATCACTAGGAGCAAGGAATTTGAATAGGGAGCTGTCTGTGGCAGACATGAAAAAGCTCCTACAAAATAATCTTTCCATAACATCTCAGAGTATGTAGAGATGAGTGGGATGGAAGAGTAGGATTTATTAAGTTAGTAAGTTAGCAATGGATAAGCAAATCTGTTTAACATCCTCAAGAAAAAGCACCAGGATCTGAAGAACATCTGAAGATAGTGTTCAAACTGGACAGGTCCTTTGACCTTTCTAAGACCCTAGTACACAAAGCAGATGGAATATATCTCCTCTCAGATTTCACTGGCCAGTTATTCCTACTGTCCTCTCCAGCTTCATCAGTTTCTTCTTTTTCAACTCTGAGCCTTTTTAACCCCCTACTTCTACTACTTTGGCTCTCGTTATGCCTCAGTTATCTCCTTTCTTACCTTCAAATCTTCTGTACTCTAATCACTGTGTACTCACTCTTTTTTTTTTTTTTTAATGTCTATGAAAATGGCTTGAGAAGGTTCAGTAATATTTCACCTTGGCAAATTCAATTGATAATGACACTTGCATGTCTCAACCTCTGATTTCTGTCAAGAAGAGACTCTGAATTGGCAATATCTTGCTGTAGTGGAGACTTGATGATGAATGAATCCTCAGAGCCATTGAAATCATGGGGATCCTTGCTGTTTGCTAGCAATAGGATTGGATAGTTTTTAAGGTCTGTGCAATCTGCTTGGCATATAAGTCATTAGGATGCTCCAATCTCATCAGCTAAATTATTTCCATAATTGCATTTTCAA